TTCGTTGTTTTCAAGATGCAAACGCGAGTGGAATAGGACCGTAAAATGGCTTGAAAAAATTTAAACGAGTCTGCGCAGTCTGGAAAATGAAAACACGGCATGTACTAAATACTTGTTAATTCATAGCGGTCGGCATGTCTCTAAACTACTTTTCAAAAGTAACAAACCGTGATTTACTGAAGTGGAGGTTGCTGGCTAGTAGCGGATATTCACCGAGTCTCGAAGCCGCGAGGTGAATATCCACCGCCAGCCATCGACACTGAGGTGAATAGTTATAGTATATACTTAAACAGAAAGATGATATAGCAAAAAGGGATGATTCTAACTCATTTATTCCCGCGATGATTGCAATATTTCCGCGCAAATCACGCGCGAGTTACTCGGAGGTGAACAGCAACGGATATTCGGAGTTTGAGTAGCCAATCAGAATGGGCCTTCAACGTTATCCACTATTTTATTAATTAAATAAACGCATTTTACGTTAGTTATTCTTTTATTTCTTTACGTATTGCAAAATATTTCGAATGAGTGTTATTAAGAGAAATTGCTACTCCTACGAGAACGGAAAGGTCACAGAACAAATAGACCTTGTGGTGTGATCCTACTCCAGGCGATTGAACTACACGATCCACGTTTCTCTGGGGTCCAAACCGTGTTGTGTAATTAATAAATACAACTGACTAATTACCTGGTTCACAAGCTTCCGCAGACCATCATTACTGTCGAAAAATTCCAGCACTGCTCGAAATGAACACGTGAGCGAGAAAAAGAGAGTTGCGTGACATCTGCCAGAGTCGTGAGAACATTCTAGAAGCCACAATGCATACTTGACCAGGTCATTCAGCACAGGGTTTGGTAGGAGGGACACCTGAAACAAGTTACTTGAAACAGTTAAGGAGGTTCTGTCGACATATTCTGTTTGTTAATTTCATGATTCTCTGGCCCATGTAGAAAAAAGAGCACCAAGAATTTAATTATTCGAAGTTTTTTTGTGGAGTTGATGGTAGTTTTGTAAGATAACATTTTTTGAGTGATTATCTCTGTTTCTTATCTTTATCTTTTTCTATCTCCTTGCTTGCGATTCTATTTATCCATTTAACCAGTTTTTCTTTTATTCCTTTTTTATCTCTCTACATGCAGCAATAAGTGCTGTTAAGTTTTTTCTACCTGTAGGTTATACGTTATACATAAATAAGCTTTTTCTGGGGGGGAAGGGAGAGGGAGATTGATGAAAAATAAGCAGAGATGTGTTATTCATTGTTATTTCATGTTTAACGGAATGATACTGGTTACCTCTTTCTTTTAGAAAAAACTGGTCTGCTCATAACTCACAGATCATTGGTAAGTTAAATCTACACTAAATAATGCATTTCTTACAACTACAAATCAAAAAACCTAAAAACATTTTTTTTTAATGGAAAAATGTCTTACCCTCTCCATGGCGTCCTCATTGTAAGCGAGATAATATAAACACATAGAACATCCTGTAGCAGCCACAGATGGGCGTGGCACTTCTAGTAACCGCTGGACACCGTTATGAGTCACAAATTCTGTGGCAAACTTTTTATGACAAAGAAGGGATGCCAAATACTAAAAAGACAATAAAAGGAAATAGCTTTTAAATTCTGAGGCTTTTTTTGTCAGATCTCAGTCGGTACAATGCATTATTGTCTTAACCTTTAACTTCCACGAGTGACCAAGACAGAATTTCTCCTTACAATATCAATACAATATCAACCAGATAAGTAATGAGAATAAAGAAAATTATCAATTCGGGCAGGATTAGCTGATCCAATACTAAATTATCCGAACTAACATTATAAGAATTCTATGGTTGACAGTAAGGAGAATTACAAATTTGATCTGGGAGTTGAAGAGTTAAAGTAGTGTTTTTCAAGAGGGATGAATGTGGTAGAGTGTCTAAAGGTTCGTTTACACAAAAGACAGAGTTGGAGTTGAATTGTTCATTAGTCGTAGGAATGCCGGCGAACCAGAGAAAATCGAGAGTCGGAGTCGTAAGTGGAGCCCAAAGCTTGACGAAATCGGAGTCGGAATATTCCGAACAATATCTTTTCTTCCGTTTCCGCTAATAACTCCAACGCTTATGATCCAGTGAAAACTAGATTGTCGGAATCACAGGCAATGCCAGTTCTTAGCTGAGCTAACCGACGGCTCACAACTCCAGCAATTCATTTTTCACATATCACTTGCGAAGGAGTCATAAGTGGCATCAGTATTTTGCTTCTGATTCTATTGGTTTGATTTCACAAGGTCATATCGCTCTGCTCTTTTTTTTTCTTTAGAAGTCGATCCAAGTTGATAATGAAGGAGAGACAAATTTGTTTGTTTGTGAAGTCTCTTCGAAAATTCAACATCCGTTTTCAACGCTAAGCTGATTGTTCTGCACTGCAAAAAAATATTTGAGGGATAAAAAGCAAAAGAATACGTCCTCAATTTGGCTCTAATATATACACGTATATTTTGTCTTTAAACATGATCAGATCCTAGAAGCGCACAGTTTTCCTTAAGCTTTACTCTCCGAAAATTCTTGGCCTCTCTAGTCAAAATAAATGTCCACCAAAAAAAGGACGAGCATATTTTTACACTAAACAGAGGCTACTGTTTAATAGTTGGTCCTCACTCAAATTTGTTAAGTTTCTAAATTATCCTTTCAGATTGAGTACACGTTTCTCACAAGCTTCCCACAAACTTCAGTGGAGAGAGTCTTACTGTTCTTCACATTACATCAAATGCTCAAGTGCCTAATTACAGCACATACCTCCTGATATTCTCCCAAGGGAGTCAGATACTGCAGAATTAGTCTCTGCTGCATGCCAAGAGTCAGGGGGGAGAGGGAAAAGGACATAGGGACTATGTGGTACCCTCCCTTAGGTGCACAAATTACATTTCCAGTGGAACGGAAACCCTTGCTTGTTTTAACTAGCAATGGATGTTTTGCTTGTAGACAACTTTTACCTGAAACAAAAAGAAAATATCTATTAATATTTGCTGGCACCCCCCCCCCCCCCCCCCCCCCCCCCCTTGACACAAAAGAAGAAAAACAAATGATAATAAGAACAAAAATACTGAAGTGCTTGAGGAAGGACACTTCTCAATCCATGTTATTGTGACCACCTAGATATACTATCAAATC